GTGCTTGGTTTTTACGAATGAAAAAGCCTGGGCAAAATACAAAGCCACGATCTTGCAAATATAGCTATCACAAGCCCCATCTGAGGGTAAACAGCATGGAGATGAATGTCCTACCTGAACACCAGTCCAGCAATGGAAACATGATCTACAGCTATCATGCAACAGAAAATCCATGCTGCCCCCAGAAGAATGATCTGGGTAGCAAGAGTGGAAAGATTACTTGCCCCTTACCAGAAGATATTGAGCTTGTTCAAAAGAAAGCTTTAATAGATACTTTCCCGGTGATTGTGAAGATCCTGGAAGAAGTTCAGTTCATAGCAATGCGCTTCAGGAAACAAGACGAGGGTGAAGAGATCTGCAGTGAGTGGAAGTTTGCAGCGGCTGTCATAGACAGATTATGCCTGGTTGCATTTACCCTTTTTGCCATCATTTGCACATTTACAGTACTCATGTCTGCTCCAAATTTTATAGAAGCTGTTTCAAAGGATTTTGTATAAAGTTTTCAAAGATGAGCATGATAACTTAAAAGTGAATATTGTCAGTAATTTTGATAGATAATTTAACTCAAACAGAGAAGTGTACTTATATGTACTAATATGCACAGAAGGGGATGAAAATAATTTCAGGAGGTAATTATTCCTGATTTTAGTGACTGTAGTTACTGAATAGTAAACTTATTGAGCTCTGCTACTTATTTCATAGACTAGCTCCATGTGTAATTATGTCATGATTTGTGACAAATGATAGACAAGAATTCAAATCTACAATATATTTATTACATGTTAACACTAGTATCCATGTGTTACTATGAATTTGTGAACTTTTAGACATTGTTAGTAATTTAAATGATCATTGATTACTATAAGCTTTACAGCATTTAGTTGTTTTCAGTATATTTGTCTTTTATCATTTTTGTTTAGTGTGGCTGTGACATTCACTTCTCAGATTTGGCAGACATATCTCCACAGTCTCATGATTCTGTATATTGTATTTACAAAAATAAACTGTCATTATATTTGCTGTTACTAGTATAGTAGTATAATGACTGGAATGTTTTCTCAGTAAGTATGTTAACTGAGTGTATTTTTCCCAGAATATTACTTTTTTTTTTTTAATTATGAAATGTTGGTTGTGAAGTTGGAAAAAAATTTCATTCTCCATACTGATAATAATATAAATAATTAATGGTGCCTTCTTAGCTCTACCACTGCTTAACTGTTGCTCTCATGTTGAAACTACTTAATTTGAAATATCTCTGATCTCTTGGGTCATGATTGCTAACCTAATACTGACTAACTCTGTATAATTAGGGCAAAAATCATGGCTCTGCATAATCTGTAGGAAATTTGCCACTGATTTAATTGCACTTGGGTATCATATTTAGTCTACACCTCTGAAGTAGTATTTTTTGAAAATCCTATTAGTACAGTCCCCTTTCCAACTTGGTCAGTGTAGCTTGTTAAAAGGAGTGTCTAAAAGACTAATTTTATTTTGCTAAATTTTAATGTACAGTGTTTATTATCAATTTACTGTCCATAATTACTCTATTATGATGTCAATATATTAATAAAAAATAATCCAATTATGCCACTTACATGGAAGATAAGGCCAAAAAAGCACTATTCTCAATAGCAGCTTCTTTCCACTCACTACTGTGGGTGGGAATGACACCTCTGTTGGTGTGATTTCATTTTGCCTGCTGATCACAGCAGAGCTACAGAAGGATGTGGTCTGATGTAAACACCTTTCCTCTTTGGGCTAACACAGCACTATTCTGAATGTCCACTAAAATAAAAGAACAACCTATTGTCTCCTCTGACTGACTTTCAACTTCCTGCTCTTCCAGTGTTAGTGTAGCAAAATTACCATTTCCCATATCTGTGTGATGGGATCCTTCCTACCATCACTGTTGGAGAGATAGAAGCAGATCATGGCACTATTACTCAATGGAAAGTATTTCCATCTAAAACGTGATGGTGAAGCTGGTAGTTCTACCAACTGAAGGAATATGCAGCTATTTCTTTTAAGATGAGGTGCTTGAGCTTTTCCACTACTGCTCTTCATCAGGTGGTGATGGTTCCCTTTAAGCAGAGACTTCACTGTAACATTACCCCTGTAGCTGTAAGATTAGATCATCACACTCCTTGGAGCTATGTTCAAAAAAGCACCTAAAAGCTATTGGATGTCCTGACTACAGTGACCTGTTTTGTATCTCACTTAGCTTTTGCACCTCTTGCAGTTACTTCAGTTCTTGGTGCAGCCCAGCAGGGTAACAATGGATAATAGTAAAAGCCTCTACTGAAAATTCAATCCATATTTCAGAGAGATCTTGTTTTCCTCCATAGGAACATTAGTGTTTTAAGTAGCTCTTTCTGAGCCTGCAGGAGAAAACCTCCATGATCTCTACTTCTTTCTCCTACCCATTTTGCTGCTTCTACTTACAAAATTGGCCTTGCTGAGGTACAGAATCCAATTCAAGAGGGGTCTGGCTAATAGAAACATTTAACCAAACAGCAGAACTGGTCTGGGGGTTTGGGTTAGTGGTATCAGGCCGTGCTCTTGGACAGCAGCTATAATGCTCTTAGTAATTTATTGGTTTAGTTATGGGGACAACCGATAAATAAAAAGTCTAAATATCCAATTCTGCAGCTTGTGATGCAGGATGCTAAATGACCTTTAGAACACTTGCTCAAGGACCACTAATATTTTTGCTTGAAAATCTGATTTTTTAAAGTAATCTCCAGTGAGAGGATAAAAAGATAAAAGCTGATGTTAAAGTACACAGTCACAATAGCTTAGCATCCTAATGCAAATGTTGTTTCCTTACCAGAAACAGAGTTATTGCATAGGAGTATTTTTAACTGGATGCATACATCTTAAGATCAGGAGACTGGAAACTATCTGAAAAGAGTGGAAAATTAATTTCAATCCCTTTTTTATTTTATAAAAAGCCAGTCCAAATACAAAATTCCATTTATAGATTACTACCTTTTACTGTTAGATTGACAGGGCTGGATTGTCTCTTATATGTCCTAAAACTCAAATTGTTTTAGTAGTATGCAATCCTTATGGTGGACTGAACCTGCTGGCTGCTTACTTTTTCAGATGACAAAGTAAGACATCCAGTTGTTGCTTGGCCTTTTGGAAGGTAAAAACACTGTTCCCACCAAATTTGTAGATCAACCTAGTATAAAATAGCACAGAAAAATGGTTACTGTACATACACAAGATTGCAAAATAAAGTGCAAATGCATTTAAGATTTTCCTGAGAACTACAGTACACTTGGAAATATTGATGGATCATCTGTATATACTGATTCACAGCTCTTCATGGCATCACTAGTTACTGTCACAAGAGTATCTATCAAGGTATGTAATTCTAAAAGAAGGAAAAATTCCCAAATCAATTACAAAGGGTAAATGGCAACAAGAACCTAACCCATAATATCCTTTATAAAATCCAGGCAATTGAACAAATGTTACATTAAGAGTGATGGCCTTACCCTTCCCTGGTAACATGGGAACATGATAGTAAAGGTCCTTGTGCATTTTCTCTTGCTCAGGAGTACCTCATTTCCCAGAAGGCATGGTAGATTTCTGGTATGAAAGTACTCAGCATAAGAAGATGCAAATCTGCTCTAATTTATTCATTGGAAATAACAAACTGTAAACATCATCAAATGTAATTTTGACTCATGGGTTTCCAGGTTTTGAAGCGTCTTAACTGTCTCCCCTCAAATACCTAGATATACCCAAAACAGTGTTTTCCGTTCTTTTTAGAACAATTTGGTCACCCTTGAAAGTTTGCTACTTTATCTGCCACCATAACAAGTATGGTGTAGTAGTTGAAGGCTACCCGGCAAACCAAGCACCATTGCAGCCTCTTGCTAAAACCCTCGAGGGCTGAGACAAAGACAGGGAGGGTTCACTCACCACTTATGGTCATGGGTAAGAAACAGACTCGACTTGGGAAAACACAGAAACAATTTAATTTGTTAACAATCAATCACAGAGCAAGATAATGAGAAAGAGAACTACATCTTAAAAAGGCACCTCTCCCCAACCCCTCCCTTCTTCCCAGGCTCAGAGGCTTTGTTCCCCATTTCTCTACCTTCTCCCCCCACCCAGTGGCACAGAGGGCAGGGGATGGGGGCTGCGGTCAGTCCATCATGTGCTGTCTCTGCCGCTCCTTCCTCCTCAGGGGGAGGGCTCCTCACAGCCTTCCCTGCCCCAGTGTGGGGACCCTCTCATGGGAGGCTCCTTCACAAACTGCTCCAGCAAAAGTCATAGAATCATAGAATGGTTGGAAAGGACCTTA